CATGTGAGTATGTGTTTGAGGTGGTTTGTGTGGGACAAAGCTGTGTATGTGTTTTTTAAGCTTGGTGTGTGTGTGTGTGCATGCATGTGTATGTGAGTGTGTGTGTATGTAAGTGAGTGTGTGTGTGTGTGGGGGGGGTTTCTGTGGGCAAAACTGTATGTGTGCATGCGCTTGTGGGTTTGTGTGTGTGTTGTTGTAGCTAGTGGGTGTGTGTGCGTTTGTGTGTGTGTTTTTGCTGATTAGTGGGTGTTTGTGTAAAAGTTAGTGTGTGTGTGTAGGGGGGTTGTATGGGAAAAAAACTGTGTGTGTGTGTGTGTGTGTGTGTGTGTGTGTGTGTGTGTGTGTGTGTGTGTGTGTGTGCGTGCATATTGATTTGTGTGTGTTTTTGTACCTTAGTCTGAATATGTGTGTGTGTGTTTGTGTACAGTGTGTGTCTGCATGTATATGTGCATGTGAGTGTGTGTTTGTGGGGGTTTGTGTGCATGTAGCTTGGTGTGTGTGCATGTTTTTGTAGCTTTGTGTGTATGTGCACAGGTGTGTGTGATTATAAGTGTTTGTGTGTGTGTGTTGTGTGTGTTGTTGTGTAGGGTCAGAAAGGAGAGCCGGCTCTGGTGTCTGGAGCTCTGGGGCCGCAGGGACCCTCAGGACTGAAGGTCACTATCTAGACGCTCACTAACTAGTGTACATGCTTACGGCAGATCCCCATCAGCATGGTGAATATTGATCTGCTCTCTGTGTTTGATCCTCTCAGGGTGATCGGGGTGCTCCGGGACCTGCTGGAGAACAGGTGAGCCCACGATCGTCTGATCCATTATCAATACCAGACACGTTATTGATCAGGGGTGATCCTGGTGTGAGCATGCTCAGTACAGCCTGACGGTTGGGAACACACACATGCTTCTGTTATAGACACACTCTAGACACACCGGCCACTTTATTAGGTACACCTGACTAGTACTGGGTTGGACCCTTTCACTTTCAGAACTGCTTTAATCCTTGGTGTTGTAGATTCAGCAAGCTACTGGAAATATTCCTCAGAGGTTTTGCTCTATATTGTCATGATAGCATCACACAGTTGCTGCAGATTTGTCGGCTGCACATCCATGATGCCAATCTCCCGTTCCACCACATCCCAAAGCTGCTCTATTGGATTGAGCTCTGGTGACTGTGGAGGCCATTTGAGTACAGTGAACTCATTGTCATGTTCAAGAAAGCAGTCTGAGATGATTGAGCTTTATGACATGCTGCGTTATCCTGCTGGAAATAGTGTGCGTCGCTGATCTGCTCTTCTGTGTTGTGTATCCTTACGCAGGGCCCCGCGGGACCAGCTGGAGAAAAGGGCGAGTTCGGGTTCCCCGGGCGTGCGGTGAGCTCAGCCTTCATCAGCAGCTTCATTTCTTGAAGGTTATTGATATGCTGTAGGTACATTCATGTGTGTGTGTGTGTGTGTGTGGAGGGTGTGTGTGTGTGTGTGTGTGTGTGTGTGTGTGTGTGTGTGTGTGTGTGTGGAGGTGGTGGTGGTGTGTGGATGAGTGATGGGGCTGTGGTGATGGTGTGAAGCGCAGTGTCTGTCACCCTCAGCTGTGTGTTGTTTGACTGTAGTTCAGTGGTCCGCTGTCAGTCTTTCTGCTTATAATACTGAGGCTGTGAGTTATTCTGCTGTATCTCAGTGGACTGGACTCTTCTAATAACACAGTGAAGGTGTGTTTGATCCTGTCTGTCTTTAAGTCGGTGATGGAGGTGATGGGCTGTCTGGTGTGCTGGATCAT